AACTGTGGACCCTCAGCCCTCAGATTGCCAGGCGAGCGCTCTACGCACTACACCACAGGCTCCGATGACATTGTTTTCCGTAAACTAAGAGTGAAGAAAAAAGAAGAAATGAAAGCACGTGGATTTAAATAAAAATAGTACAGAAACACGTGTATTTATTTGTTTGTTATGGAACATAGAGAGGAATAATGAATAGTTTCGAGAAAAACGATTGGTGGATAATGAAAATAGAGATTTCCTGTACAAAAAAAAAATTGAGTTTGTTTATAGTTTGAATAGATTGAGTTAATCATACAGAGCTTATGATACATTCGAACTTCCGTGTCGGCACTGTGTTTACAATTTGTGAAAATATAGGCGCGTTCGTTTTGACAGAAATGGCGAACTCATAGGTTAGATTAAATAATCATCTCTATTTGCATTGAATTCATAGTTTTGAGCATAAATTAAACTTGAAACATGCATTTCATGAAGAAGACGGTGTCACGGAGAGCGTGCAAATTTCTTTTATATGAAAAAATCGCTATTTCCGAGTTTCAGCCGATTCATATTTAAATCTAAATAAAATTAAAATAAATTCCATACACCTAAGAAAGCAAGAATACTTGGTATTAAAATGTCGTAATAGAGCAGAAGAATCGAATGATATTAACCATAATAGCAGAAATAGCCAATGCGAGCTTTAATTAATTTTTATGCTCAGCAGTAACTTAATTTCAGACAGAAAAAAAATGCAGATTTTGCTGATATTCACTAGAATTTCATTGTCCTTTAGAGACTCACCTTAAAACTCTCAGGACACTTTCTTTCAGGTCTCTTCTTCCTTTTATTACGAATCTTATGTCGATATTTCGTTTCGTTTGACTTGTAGACATTTTCTCTAAGTTGGTGTTGATTTGATTTTATTTTTTTACAGGGGGGGGGGGGTTTATTTTATAAGCATTTGTTAGAGTGATGGTTGTAAATAACTCCACGACCTTTAGCTTGATTGTGACCTTTGGGTCAATGGGGTCAAAGGTCAAGGTCATTTATCAAGGTCATCAAAAAAAAAAAGAGAGAGAGAGTTAAATTTGAGATTAACACTTGAAGCTGAATCTAGATAAAGGTAATGAATATTTCTTTATGACCTTTTGAGTAAGGGTCAAGGTCAGAGGTCAAGGTCAATGTCAAATTTCGAGGTCAAAGTTCAAGGTCATTTGGATTTTTAGCTTAAATTGACCATTTTTCTAGTTTTCCAATGACCTTGACCTTTGACCTTGACCTACTTTTCAAGGTCAAAGGTCATAAGATCTCATGCACTTGGTCCCATATCTTTACCACTTGTCCTATAAAAGTTTTTAATTTTTCTTGTCAGCTTTAAGATTTTCAGGGGCAATAACTCATTGAAGGAGTCACCGAATACTTTTGCAATGAATAGATTCCAGAGTCCTCTCAATTAATCCAAGACATTGGTGAAGGTTTCATACCTCTACGGTTTACGGTTTCAAAGGAGTAGCGATAACAAGCATTTCTTGTGAAAGGGGCAATAACTTCGAAAGCCGTCATAGTTCATACGCGTTGGGTCAAATTTGTTCCTAACTTTTAATGACCTTTACGATGAACAAAAAGTCTTTTCGATAAATGTCGAAAGAAAAAATCAGCGGAAGAATAATAATAATAATAATAATAATAAACAGAAGAAAATCAATAGGTCTTTCCACAGAAAGGTGGAAAGACCTAATAAGAAACAGAAGAAAACCAATAGGTCTTTCCACAGAAAGGTGGAAAGACCTAATAAGGAAACCTGATTTTGATAATCTATTTCAAATTTATACCTGTAATGTTATAGTCAGACTAGCTCAGTTGATATGTACGCTAACTGCTACAGAGTGCATACTAATATTTTAAAGTCGGGGGTTCGAATCCACCTGGTATCACACTTTGAAATTTTTAAATTTTCGCCTTTTCAAAGACTATTTTAATATTTTTTATGGCCCTGTGTATTTTCCTTCAATTACATATCCTTTATGCATGCCCATTCTTGATATAAGAAACACTAGAGAAATATCAAATCGTAAAAATCCAATGTACAGTTGTCAGCAGTCAGGCGGAACAAACCTCAGTGTAAGCATACTTTCTCACTCTGTGTGTTGGCAGCATTGAGCTGCGATGAATGTCAATTGTATATATTCCTTAGGATTTAATAACATTGATTTTGGCTACATGTACATACATATCAGTAACTGCTCTCCTCGGATTTGATATAGGCCTATATAATTTGCACACATTAATGGAATGTTTTACTACATTTACGGATAAAATTGCCTAAACATAAAGAATAGAATTTCAGAGGCAGTAAACATTACCATTATGCGTTGTTATGCTTCTTGAGAAGTTATGACAAATATCAATTATTACATTTTGAGATAACAAACTGAGGAAATCAACGAAAGGGTTCCTCACACCTCTACTAGCTGAAAAAAAAAAGATTTAGGAAAAACAAATTGTTATATGTATTCAGCCTAATGCCATTAATCAGAACGGAAATCGACAAGGTTTTTGTAGAGAAAAAAACCAAGCCCGTTCCTATAGGTCAAATCCCTATTTATAATGAAGTGATCCTTTGGTCGCATATGAAAAAGTTCTATGTTCTAAAACATCTTGAACATAAAAATTGTTTCAAAATGCTTTGAATAAAAAGTTTCTGGAGAAAATTATGGTTTTTGGGATCATTGAAAAATTTTGTTTATAGATTTAAATCGAATTCTTCTTAGGCCAGTTTTCCCCATTTCTGTTTAGTTGTATATACAATGAGACGTAAAAAACATGTAATCCATTAATCGTTGTTTATCTATGTAAGTACTTATTGCTTGAATCTATTTTATATGCAATTGTTTACTAAATTCTTTTCTTTATTTTGTTTATTTTTTTTTGTAAAGTCAAGATATAATTTCATAAAAATAAAATTTTTGCCTTAGCACTTATTATTACTTCTTTTGTTTTTTATCGACAAATATAGAATTAAAGATAAATGTTGAAAAGATCACAAAGGTAAACATCGGATCACTATATTTTCACATGTATTGATCAGAGAGAATACAAATGGATAATATGTAATGATGGTCGAATGTTTCTGTAATTTATTTCCGTTTGCAAATTAATTATAGTCGTAAAGTTTACTTCAGAAATGTATGTTCAGAAAATTTCGTTATATCCTACCTTAACTGAATTAAAACGTTAGTTTTCTAATTTATAGATTAAGATATACATATATCCATACAAGTATGGACCATTGTCCTTTAATATCACAACTGCTGGTTGTTTCCCTTTGCACATAAAAGATTTTCATTTGAAACAAATATTTTTAAGCAATTTCTTTATTTTTATTTTAAAACAAAGATGTGCCTTGGCAGATTTCTTTCACAAAAATGAAAAGGATTAAAATGACTGTCTTTTGTTCATGAATAGCTTTTTCGCCAACAATTATTGTTTATGTAGCAAATTTTTGCGATGGTTTTGACAAGTAGAAGATGTTTTTCTCCTTCCATTAATAGTTGTGTTTATACAGCATTAATGCTTGAATCTGGGAAATACAAAGGTAGGCAAAGGAGTCTGATTTTTGCCTTGATTATAACTGGAAATTTAAGCAAGTTTTTCTTAAACATTGGTATTTCAATTTTGGCGAGATGTAATTTTAGCGATTTTTAAATGCAATTTCACTCAAGAAGCATTTGAAACAAACGCAATCAATTTTAAGCTATAATAAATTTTTACGATCTCAAAATCCTTGCTAATTGTGCCAAAATTAAATCCTCGCTAAAAATTCTGCTCATATAGTATGTCAAGTTGTCTGATCCTTTTGATTCCTTGTCACATAGTCGCCCGCGTGGAGCAGGGGTTAGAGCGTCTGCTTTAGAGTCGCGAAGTAAGGAGTTGATCCTTACGTCGCGGGTTCGAATCCCACTGTGGGACGTGGAGACCTGTCCTTCGGATGAGACCGTATAAAACGAGGTCCCGTGTCGCAGTACGTGCTGGCAAGAAAAAGATCCATCCCTGCTCAACGGCCGTGAGTGCCGAGTATAGGACAAAATTTGCAGCTCTCCTCCGGCAAATGGTGGCGACTCCATATTAGTGAAAATTTTCGAGAGGGACATTAAACAATATACGTACAATCAATCCTTGTCACATATTCACGTTCTAAGAATACATGAAAATATTTCCTTGCCGAGTTAAGACCAGGAGTTGACAACATATTTTTGTGAAGTCGATATTTGTGTCTAACAAGTCAACATTAATGATCTGACAATGAAACGTGAAATTCTGACAAGTTGCAAAAAATAAAGAAATGAATAAAATACATATTACATGAAATGGAGTAAAATTTATTAAGTAAGTAAGTAAATTTTATTTAAAGTCAGCACTTTATACATTGTATAACAAGAAACATAGAGTTAACACAGACACATGGCAGATAAAACAACTTTTTAAGAATTAAACAAATTTTAAGAATTTATCATTTTAAAAAAATAATGAGAGAAAAAAAACAAACAAACTTGAAAAGCAAAATGATTGCATTAAGAGGAACAAAAATAAAAATAAGTAGATATTATAAAATAAAAATAAATAAATAAACATCATATGAAAGCTAACTAAATTAAACACTATGTTTAACCCATAAAGTCAGATTAAAAAGCAATAATTGTATTAATGATAAAAAAAATGAATTTGAAAGTTTAGAAAATTAAAAATTCACACAGATATAGCTAAACCAATTTGAAAACAAAAAATAATTTATGTTCCGCATCAATACACATCCTGCCTAGCGATTGGGTCAGCAAGATTTGCATTGTTATGAGGTTAAAGAGGAAAGTAAGATTGTTCAAAAGGCAAAAATTTAAAGAAAATAGGATCCTGGAGAGATACGCCTTTGTCATCGTATGATTTTTGTATATATTCTTTTATATATATATATATATATATATATATATATATAAAATGAAAGATTTGAGGAATCAAATCAATTAATTCCGTACAAAATGTAATTCTATTTTTCCTCTGAAACAAATGAAAGTTTAGGAAAACCATCGCTGACCGAGAGCAAACAAGTTTGCATTGTCCTTTAAAAATCGTGGTATAGTTATTTTGTTCATTCTCCCAAATAACAAATTTACACTTTTTTATTGTCTTGCTTTTTCAACTGTTGTTACCTTAAAGGCCATGTTTTGGGCACTCAGCAGGGTATTGACACTTTTGGGAAAAACAGATATCAAAAATTGAAAAAAATAATTTTAACACGAAAGTATGACATAAGAAAAAAAAATTATAAGTCAGCTTTTCAAGCTATTTTTACCACACTGTTTAACGGCATCTTGACCTCTCTACCTGCGTGAAAATTCTAGAATGGGATGTAAACAACATAAAATCCATCTTTATTATCAGAAAAATGCTATTGATTAAAACTAATTTAATTTGATTTAATTATACATCTCCATATATTTCATTAATTTTACAACGAATTAACATTACAAAAGCAGAAAATACATATTAAGTATAATACAATTATAATATAGGATATACTAAAGGATAATTAATTTCTTAATTTGAAGAAAAACTATAAAAGTTATCTCCTTTTAACAAGATATAACAAGTTGTGTGAATGAAACACTGATGTCACCATATAGAAGCTCAAGACTGAAGGTTAAAGTTTATCAATTGCAAGATAAATTTCAACGTCATAAGAAAAAACAGGGTGGAAGGTCAAAATTGTTAAAAAAAAGAAGTCTTTTTAAAAGGAATACACGTGTGAAATATAAAATCTCAGGCACTACCTGTAGAAATATTTGGCCTTGTTTAAAGATTTTAAAGTAGGTCAAACTTAAAAACGAATGTCAAGATTATTGACCGGTTTTGTCACACCAAATACACCTCTGAAATTCAAAAGCCCCTACACATTTCCAAAATACGACCAAACTCATATTTTAAAGTATGTTAAAATGCAAGGTAAATATCAATACATGTACTTCAAAATTATCAATACCAGAGGAAAATATCTACGTTGAGAAATATACTAATAAAGTATAAAAGCCCATCTCCAACTGTTCAAATGTTAGGTCAATCTGAAAGTATAATTTTGCAAAAGTTGGTCAAACTACTAGAGGTCAAATGTATTGGTACCAAAGAAATATTTTGTTAAAAAGGAATTCTTAGGTGCATGAAATATGTTACCCATAATTTCAGCTGGAAGTTATTGGCAAGTTTTGTTTTTGCAGACAAATTAAGCCCTAGACATACAGGGCAAAAACATACATATATCGAGTCTTCGTTTATTGGGACACAAGAATTCGTTCAACTTGTAAAAATCTGCACATGTACTTTAGTGCTAATGCTAAAGAATATGAAACTAAAAAAAGAGTAATTGAAAATCAAACTTAAATATATTATTTCTTATTAATTATCGAGGACAAATTGTCCATAATACTTATTACTTTGAATATCTTTGTAAATTAAGGACATTTTCCAAAAAATTATGTTTTCAGAGTGGAAAGGTAATGGATATAATCAAAGAAGAAAACATTTGAACATACGTTCTGTTGACAACATGTACAAGGTAAAGGGTAATATATTACCAAAGATTTGAAGAAACAGTTAACACAGATACATGTAGATACCATAGAAATATTGCAATCAGATTAAATAGATTAGTAGTTTTTACAATTTACCTAGGAGGTCAATAAAATTGAAATATATTTAATGTCGATCTATTCTTTATAATATTTTTACATTAATTGTGTATGTTTTCCAAATATCTTACAAATGTGATACAGAACTTCAACAAAATGATGTTCTTTATGTCGTATGTGGTCTTCTGGCTCTTAATGTTTAGAGTTTAAGTTGTCATATATCGTATCAGCCTGTAGGTATTCTGCTACAAGATCATGACAGAACTGGTATTCCTCCTAAAAAAATAAGATAATAAATTTTATAAGTAATTAACCCCAATAACAAACAATTATGTTGATCATTATAAAGGAACAAAACAATAATTATACATTGTAATTATTGATCCTATCGGGGTGTGATTTTAAAACTTCCAGCCACGATAGGTCTTTACTCGATAAAGAACTCTAACTGCTCAAAGTCCTTGAGTGTCATATATAGTTTCAAATCGGCATTCTTGACCAATAAACAGTGATAACTCTATATGAATAAAAAACTTTCCAAATAGAAAGTAAAACTGCATACAACGTCAGCAAATTTTTCTATCAAAGTTTTTGACATGACTGCAAGTCAACAAGTACATGTACATGGCACTCAGCTTTTAGGTAACATTTCGGTATGTAGCTTTTAACAAGCTGCTGCCTGCCTGCTGCCTATCCCTTGACTTCCATGGATGTCGGTGGGGCACCTTTGAAGACTTATCCACCACGTTAATTCATAAATCTCTGTTTTTTGTCGCTCAGTCCAGTCAACTCAGGGATGTTGTCATCCCACCTCTTCTTTTGCCTTCCCCGCCTTCGTCCTCCTTTCACTGTGCTTGCAGGATAGTCTTTGCAAGGCCACTTGAGCGTGAAACGTGGCCGTACCATCTTAGTTTCCGCTTCTTAACGATGGTGAGGTCATCGTGAGGTCCTATAGTTTCTGTGACTGTCCTGCGGACCTCTGCATTGGTCACATGGTCCGTGTAATTGATGCCTATTGTCTTCTATAGCATCTCATCTCAGTGCTCGTAATCCCTTTGTCAATCTCAGCAGTGAGAGTCAATGTCTCACAGGCATATAGGAAGACCGGCATAGCGAGGGAACGCATTGAATGAAATACCGCGGTATAAATGCAAACAAGAACTTCTAAAACATCAGATATAGGATCAGGAACAATAGGGGAGTGAGCATCCCCTGCCGACAGGTCAAAGTTATCGTCGACAATTCAGTGTTTAACACTTAATAAACACGGTCCTCTCTACAAATAGACATCAAACCAACAGCGACATAATTTGATTGTCCTTTGCAACGAAAAGTCAGATAGCACTAACTAGTGGAATGAAAATGAATGACAATAGACAATTGAATTTAAAATTTTAGACACTTTAAATATTAAGTCAAGATTATCAAATAAGGGAAACTTACAGGAGTGGAAATAAATTCCGGTCTTCGAATTTGTATCAGTCGTGTTGCTGTAAAAATATCGATTTCCTTGTCGAGGATAAACTGCTCTATCACATTATAGGCGACAAAGAATGGACCGCAACGTTTAGCCCCGTCACTGGAATAGTTTTACTTCAGTTAATACTTGACAACGAAAAATACAAGATACCCAGGGGCCACATAGCTCATCTGAACACTGTGGTTAGGTAAAAAGCAAAAATCAGTACAGTATTGAAAAACTTAAATGCTTAAGTTGACAGGACCTATCCCTAAAAGGAAGGGGGTAAGATTTGACCAAAATTGAATTTTTACTAACTTTCGTTGTGGTCCCATAATACCCTTTAATTATGACTAACCATGGTTTTGCTGTCCTTGTGAAGATTTTTTATGATGTTCCCTATGTATTCCTATGTAACATTCTCATCGCCCACTGTTGACAAACCCTATCCCAGGGGTCAAGTTTTAAACAAACATGAATCTACACTATCTGAGGATGTTTCCACATAGTTTCATATTTTTTTAGCACGGTGGTTCTAGAGAAGAATTTTAAACAGATGAATAATTTTTTCACGAATACTCAATTATTTCCCATTTGAAGACCCTTCCTTTGAAAAAATTTGTATTTCCTTTAATTACCCACAGTAAAGTTTGTTCGAAATTGGCCCAGTGGTTCTTTAGAAGAAGATGAAAATTTGAAAAAGTTTACAACGACGACAACAACAGACAGCGAACAATTTTCAATCAGAAAAGCTTACTCGATGCTTCGGCTCAGGCGACCTAAAAAGTAACTAGTGCTAATTGTAACGGGGACCGTTACAGATGTTCCCCAAACGCTCCCCAACTCCTTTTTGGTGCCATATTCCCTGTAAGCTTCATTTAATAAGACAAACTCTGTGCATTTTGACTTTAACAACGTTTTCTCAGAAGGATACCAATTATATTCAAATTTTAGCATTGTACCCGTGCGCATGTGAATGCATGTCCGTTATGATCATACCATGTTGTCTACACTATCTACATATTTTAATATACAATATATTAAAGCATTCAGTCCAAAAGTATGAAAAATCACTCTTTCAAATGTATTTTTCATTTCACTCGTTCCAAATGCACACACGTGCGTGCACGTGCATGATGACCATACCTTCTTGTAGGAGTCCCTTACATCTATCTATATTCTAAATCCCATCCTGTTTGGTTGAAAAACAAGGGAGTTATAGCCATTTCAAGTTTAAGCCAATCAGATTGCAGCACACGTGCATGCGCGTGATTTCATGATTTTTTTTTCTATATCATATTGTAGGATATCCTACTGCATGACTATGTTTTATATTTCAAAGCATTTCGTCAAAAAACAAAGTAGATATAGCCATTTAAAGTTTCAGCCAATCAGATTGCAGCACGCGGGCATGCGCATGCTTTCATGAAAATTCTTATATATCATGCCGTAGATCTTCATAATGTAGGTCTATGTTCAAAATTTCAAAGGATTATGACAAGAAACAAGAAAGATATTGAGACTTTAGTTTCAGCCAATCAGAGCGAAGCACACGTGCATGCACGTGCGAT